TATTTTTGAGTGAAATTTTAAGTTACTGTAAATAGTGTACTAAAAAGGGAGGGGTAAAGGTGTATTGTCAGCCTACACCATGGAAGTGTGTGGGGAAAAAAGTGGCCAATATATTAAATATTCATGAGGATAAATGTATTTCTTTTTCCAGATTTCGGTTTTCCTATATTGCCTTCCAATGCCTGATTTTATAATTGACTAATATAAATGCAATAACAATGTGAAATTTCTGGTACTTACATTGCTCTTGAGTCAGACAATGAAGTTAGTTTTTCTTGAATTTTCATGTTTTGGTGAGTATGGTAGGATTGAAGTGTGGAGCATATGTCATTGGTGCCTTTACACATGTTCTTTACCAGCGGAAATGTTTTCCCATGTTGTCATAAAACAAGTGTCAGCAGCATATTCTCATGATTTTCCTTGGAATGCTATGTACAGATTAATAAGTGACAGTTTAAGCTACAGGGTGAAGCATTGGCACTTGGAACTTTCAACTTGGAACTTAGGTTTGAGACCACCATATCCTATATACAACATGTTTCTTAGTCTTGGCAGCCACTGAGATGGTATACACGTCTATATACAACATGTTTCTTAGTCTTGGCAGCCACTGAGATGGTATACACATACCGACAAATGTTTACATGGACATTTACTTAATGGTTATACAATATTTAAAGGTTATTTTGAGATAAATGATTTTTAATAGTTCTATTTTAATTTTCTTTCAGTGCTGCAGGTGGAGAAATTTTCAACCTGTGTTTACCTGAGTTGGCTGAAATGGTATCTGAAAATGATGTTATCAGACTCATTAAACAAATACTTGAAGGAGTTTATTATCTACATCAGAATAACATTGTTCACCTTGACTTAAAGGTATGGCAATGTGACTTATTAGTGTTCCTTCTCTGTTCTTGGTAGTTGAGTGTCAGGCTGGTGTTGGTAGAAGTGAGGTGTGTGTCATGGTCCTCTAGACTTGGGGGTGCCTGGGCCTATGTAGCGCTGCACTGGGCCTTACTTTGTATTGGCAGACAGGAGAAGAATGTACTCCTCGTGGTAAGCTTGGATTAAACCACTTAAAATCCATCACCCTTATATGTAATCCATCCTGCTTTAAAAGGCACATCTCAGGCCTTGCCTAGCACATCCCCCCTTAGAAGTGATTGGTTCTGATTACTGTCTGTTATTCTTTTACCTTTCCTCATTCCTCTGCTTCCATATCTCACTCATTTTCTCTAAGATGTTATGTTCCCTGTCTGTGTAGGTTAGTCCTCACTGCAGTCCCCAGAGCCATGGGCTTAGATGGTGTGTGCCTTGTCTGTACTCCACAGCTACGCACAGGCCTTAAAGTCTGAAGAACCTGTCTCCTGTTTGGTAAACAGTGGGCTCTGCTCTGTCTGTATAATTTGCCTGCCTTTAGATTCCTCTGCCCCACTATCATAATATAATTCCAAAATCGCTGCCCATAGCCCAGGCCTGTGTCTAATTTCCAAATCTTTTTCCACCTGTAGATTCAATACCATTTGAAAGTACTGTAAATACTTTAAAATATACACTGCCCAGATATTTATCCTATCCCTTTTAAAACAAAATGAAAACTATGTATTTGTTCCCCTTTGGAGGGGGAGGAAGTTTTTGCCATCTAGCTTCCCCACTGTTCTCCTTTAGTCACATCTTTGGAGGGGGAGGAAGTTTTTGCCATCTAGCTTCCCCACTGTTCTCCTGTAGTCACACGATTGGGAAAGACACAGCATAGTAAATGCCAGGTGATTATCTGTGATCAGCAGCTGTTTGGTCTTTGTCCTGTGTAAGGCAAACTGTGTCACACAGCACTCTGTCACAGAGCACTTGAAGTCGGGTGGCCCATAAACCTGGCTTTTAACACTGTTACCATGAAACTGACAACAGTTTACTTGTCTCCTGGGATTGTCTCTTGTGATTTAATGTGAACCATGGCATTGTCCCCAAGTTAAAAGGCTATCAGGATTTTTTCACAGACTTGTGAGCAGGGCTTCTGTATTTATAATGGGTTCTGATAGGGCACTTTGTCATCTTCTCTACACTTCCAATAATAAAGTCAAATCATGTGGTTCTCGGAGACAGTGGAGGACACACACACATCTTACTGTCTAAGTATGAACCTGGGACAGTCAGGCCCAGCTCACCTAGAACCGTACTCTGTATAGGACCACTCTCTAATCTGAACATGGATATGATATGCATGTTAGCCCTTTTATTGTGTGTACATGAGTACACATGCAGGCATGGGTGTGTGTTCCTCACTTGAACTTTTTGTGGTCAGAATGTGGTGCTCTTGTCTTTATTACTATATATTCCATATTTCAAAATCAACCAACATCTTACAAACTGAAAATCCATCTTGTCTGCCTTCTTAATGCCTTCATTATTAAATGTGTACTCCTAATTGGCAGTTCAGTGGATGTTAGCTGAAGTACTCTAGAAAATGTGTAAGAGCTAAGCAACAAGTTATACTCACTTTACCTTCAGTCTAGAACAAGAACTCTTTTATTTTCTATTGCTTATCATCTTTTGTGTTCTTTATTTAGCCACAGAATATACTGTTGAGCAGTATATACCCACTTGGGGACATAAAAATCGTAGATTTTGGAATGTCTCGAAAAATTGGGAATGCTTGTGAGCTTCGGGAAATCATGGGAACACCTGAATATTTAGGTAAGAAATCTACTTTGTTTTTATACCATTTTGAAATTGTAGATACCTCTTTAAAACTGTATTTTATGATAGAAATGTTGCTCATGTGGTAGACTGCTTGCTTAGCACCAAAACCAGAAAAATCCTCACATATTTTAGATTACACAATACCAGGAGTCATTTGATTCAAAAAGTTTAATGTATTCAAATTTGGTTATGATTCATTAAATGAGTTTATAGTGAATACAGGAATATATTAAGCCTTTAGAACAACTCAAGGTCATTGGCTAAGTGTAAAAGTATAGTGCGTGTCTATACTGGTGTTGTATATAAGGAAAAAAGCCTAAAAGGGAAATCAGTAGCAAATAGGCAGAACCAAGTGGTCCATGAGCCAGAGTCTGACTGACTGACTCTCACTTCTACTTCTGTCTGGTCCTAGCACCAAAGCTGTACGTAGTGCAGTCTTTGGTTTTGTGGGTGTCATTCGTAATTTGTTGTTGCTGTTTTCAAATGTAAGGTTTGTTACTAGGACTATAAAGACAGGCTGTTGGGGGGGAAGGGATACCAAAGACAATGTAATCTGGGGATAATGTACTAAATCAACAAATTTGATTATGCCTACAAAAGATTCTTAAGATGTGTGAAACAGCATGTAAGTTTCAAATATTTAGAGATAGCAGTAATATTTTTACCTTCTGTTACTGCCCTAATGAACATCTCTATTGAAAAGATAAAACTAACAGAGCAAGTCCCATGAGCTAGGCAGGTATCTCCCAGAAATGAAAACTACTAACTGTTGGATGCTAACACTATGGGCTATAGTGTCCTAGAATACACAGCTGTAGTTAATGATAACATAGCTCACGGATGTATGCAGGAAGGTTATAGGTAGCTTGGTGAGGCTGATAGTACATAGGATTCAAAGGTATCATTCATGAGAATGTTAGAGTTGAGAACTTTTTTTTAAAGAGATTATAAAACTACATTGAACAATAGTTTTCAGTTGTAATACTATTTGGAACTTTAAAATTCACTGTAAAATTCAGGAACTATAGAGAATTTTTTTTTTTTTGGAGTGTGGACAAGGAAAGAAGAAGCCAAAAATTGCTTAGAAAGTTAGGTTTTTGATAATTTAAGTATAATCTGCTTGAAAATCTTAGCATTTGTAAGAAGCCTCATTTTTTTTCTTACAATGTCATTATAAGTACATGATCCATGAAAACATAAGCTTACCTAAGGCTAACAAAATAATATAAACTAATAACAAAGCAGTAAAACTACAGTTGTAAGGATTGAGGCTTTTTCCATTTCATCTCTTCATAGTGGCTTTTCTGATCCACTGGCTGTCCCCATGTACAGCTGCTAGGCCCTGGAGGAGCACAGCAGTGACTTGGCCTACTGCCCACTTCATCATGCAATTTTCACAATATTAGATATGTCTTAGTGTATAATCTCAAAATAATTAAAACTCCACTAAATTCCTACTGGCATCGTATTACTCTGCCTTCTATAAGCAAATCAAGTTGTAATTTAATGCAAGGTGATTATTGTGTTTTAAAGTTTGCCTATGTTGAGTCTTAATTTAATTTTCTCTTTCAGCTCCAGAAATCCTCAACTATGATCCCATTACCACAGCAACAGATATGTGGTAAGAGTTTATAGGTGATCTAAATGCTATCTTTCAAAATCAGATAATAGATATTTAGTTTTTTAAAAAATTAATAGTAAAAAATAAGGCGTTCTTTCAAAGAGTTTATTCAGAAATATTATTGAAGACTTTTGACCTGCCTATTCTTTTCAGTAAGCTCTTGAGCTAGAGGCACAGAAGTAGGAACTCCCTCTCTCCAGTCACCTCAGTTGAGTAACGGGTGAGCAGCCCCAGTTGGTGACACACACTCTGTAGTCAAGTAAAACTCTCAAAAAGCCAGGATGATGCAGTTCAGTCACAGCTGGGCATGATGCTGTTCTTAACTATGTGAGTCTAGAAGGGTTAGGCATGGCATTACTGAGCAGGAGGAGGTCAAATGCACACAGAAGCTCAGTTGACAGGGTTCACCTCTAGGGAATTGTGCGGTTGGCAGCTATCTCAGAGAGACCCCAACAGGGAGTAGCACCAGGATTGGCAATGGAACTTCTGTTGTGAGAACAGACTGTCTGACTTCCTAGACCAAGTGCAAACTTTAGCCTTATTTGCCTGGTTCTTTGAAACTAATGGGTTTGCAACGATACAGAAGATCTGGTGACTAGTACATGTGTAAAGCATGCTGTGTTGTATTGTTCTAGCTTCTCACCAGCCTTGACCTTAACATATTTACAGCTTAAAAAGTTTTGCCCATCCAACCTTGTGCTTTGCCAAACTTGCAGACTGAGTTTACATAAAACCCTGTTTATATCACTCAGATCACTATTGTGACATTGGACAGACTTTTAAAAATGCATCTGTTTTTTGTACCCTGCATGTGTCTATACTAAACGTTGTGTAGACTGTAGATAAAATATTTTCAGTGGATTATGTTGATGTTATATGTAACATATGTGTAGACTCCCTGTTCCCTTTGTGAGGCAAATGGAAGTAACATAACTGTTTTAGTTTTTATAGGATCGTAATCCCTAGTCCTTTTTTTTTTTTTTTTTTTCTGACTAGCTGACAGTTTTGAGGACAGGAATTTGTGGACTATTAATTGTATTGCCTATAAATATTGTTAAATTAATGTACATTTATTTCTCTCTCACTTGTTTTTCAGGAATATTGGCATAATAGCATATATGTTGTTAACTCATACATCACCATTTGTAGGAGAAGATAATCAAGAAACATACCTGAATATTTCTCAAGTTAATGTAGATTATTCTGATGAAACTTTCTCATCAGTTTCACAACTGGCCACAGACTTCATCCAGAGCCTTCTAGTAAAGAATCCAGAGTAAGTGATGACATTAATCAAATGCAGTTACATAACAAATAACATGTGTCTATTAAGAAGATACATTCTATACACAAAATATGCAAGTAATATGTGTTTTTTCCCATGTTTGGAAACCATGATAGGGTGACATGAAAGTTGAAGGGAGCTATTAGGAATTTGGATGGGGTCCTGGAGAAGATTGTATTTTGTGCAAGTATGGACTTGTTCTAAATCTTAAAGGATTAGATGTCTGCTCATGTGTGGCTTCACTTTATATATAAGAATATCCAAATTTTGGTTGCTTAAAGAAGAAAGCCCTGGGCCACAGAGACTCTTTCACCCTGGCATATGCTTAAAATTCAGTGCTTCATGGTATTTACTGAAGAAAGGACTTGATCCTATCTCCAGACCCTTGACCATTGTCAGCTTCAAGGCAAGGAGAGGCCCAACTCTTCTTCAAGGCTGGCTTATGTCCTGGGGGCCAGTGGTCTCACTTTTCAGACTTCTGTTCTTGGCAGTTAATCTCCAGGAAGACTCAGTTTCTTTATCTGCAAGAAAACAACAACAAAACAACTCTATGTGAATTTTGGACATGAATACATATTTCATATAAAGAATAATATTGTGGTTTCTGTTTGCAAGCCATTTTTGTTTTCTTAAATAGTCTTTGTCTAAAGTCTAAATGCTTTGTAATAAGAACATTACTATTTTAATTATAAAAGACTATACACAAAAACAAAAGACTAGAAATATCTACCAAATGATTCCTATTTAACCTTTGAGTTTATAGGTATTTCCCCTACTTTTGAATAAAAAAGCAATTTTAAGACTCAAAGTATTGGGTAAATATCAAAGAAGTCTGTCTTTCAAGATTTAGTAGTCACTATTTTTTTTTTTTTAATTTTGCAAGACAAGGTTTCTCTGTGTAACTGCCTTGACTGTCCTGGAACTCACTCTATAGACCATGCTGGCCTTAAACTCACTGAGATCCACCTGCCTCTGCCTCCCAAGATCTGGGATTAAAGGCCTAGCAGCAGTCACTATTTTTAAGAGCATAAACTAATGCAGAAAATAATTCCTGATTTATAGTTCCTCCAGAGGCTTTCTAAACTGAAGGGATTTGATAATTTCACTAACATTACTTTGCTTGGCCAGCATATGCCTTCAAGCTTGACTAGATTTTCATCTAGTTCTCTTACACATTTGCTGTAAGAGCATAGGTCAGGTGACAGCATCTGTACTGCAGTTTTCCTCTCAGCTATTGTGAACAGGAGCCTCTTCATGTATAAAAGGAACCTCTCTATGAACAGATGTCAGATGTGGAGGCGAAGAGGAAATGCAAAGCCATTTCCTTCATCATTGTCCAATTCTCTCCATTCTGTGTCTTTGTGTATAATTGAAACATGCAGTGTTTAAGCATTTCACTTACTAGCAGTATTCACACATATATTTCATTTGAACTGACTAGTTTGGTCTTAAAAAAAAAAATGTCTTAGTTAGAGTTTCTATTGCTGTGAAGAGACACCATGACCATGGCAACTCTTATAAAGGAGAATATTTAATTGAGGTGGCAGATTACAGTTTCAGAAGTTCAGTCCATTATCATCATTGCAGGGAGGAAACATGGCAGCTGGGAGTATGACGGCATACAGGCAGACATGGTACTAGAGAATTCCACATCTCTGATTCATAGGCAACAAGTAGTGAACTGAGACACTAGGCAGTATCTTGAGCATATATGAGACCTCAAAGCACGCCTCTACAGTGACACACTTCCTCCATCAAGACCACACCTATGCCAACAAGGCCACATCTCCATATAGTGCCACTCCCTTTGGTGGCCAATTTCTTTCAAACTATCACAATAATCCTTAGAAAATAAAGCAAGTGTTTATTCTGTAATAAAGAATATCTAAGAAGTAAGTGCAATTCCTGTTGCTCTGTAGTCATTGGCAAGCAATCATGGTCATTGACTAATGTTTTCTCGAAGAAGACATTGTTTCATTCATTTGTGTGAGGCTCTGGGATTGATCCCTAGTACTGAAAACTAATATGTATAACAAAGATTAAAGAAGAAAGTTCAAAAAGTATATATGGAATACTCTAAGAACTTAATTGTTTTCCATAATCCTCTAGAAGATACCGGTATGGTTGAATATTAGAAGTAATTGGGAGGACACCTAAAACCATGTTAAACCAAAAAAAAGATTTAAAAAAAAAAAAAAAAAAAAAAAAAAAAAAAAAGCCAAATTCCTGTTCTGGAGATAATCAACCAAGTTTCTAGAAAGCATTTCCTTAGTGTTCATTAGACTGTTGTTTCTAACAACACAATGCTGGAAGCATCAGTAGGGGTCTTGTTAAACAGATTGTGGTATGCCAGAATGGAAGAGTGACAAAATGTTTGTGAATTCTGTATTGCCCTAGAAAGATACTTAAGTTGTATTGTATTATCTACTTTGAGTTATCACCTCACTCAGAATGGCTATCAACAAATCTGATAACTCATGTTGGAAAGGATTTGGGGAACAAGGAATCCTTATTCACTGCTTGTGAGACTCCAAATTAATATAGTTCTTATGAAAATTAACTTGTAGATTCTCTAAAATTATTAAGTAATGTATTGAAGCATGTGAAATAGCCCCTGACATATGCCTAAGCAGTAGCTGTATCTACTATACTGGTTGGACTTTACGATATGTGCTATCTTCATGTTCATTTTCAAATGTAATTGGAAGACTCCTCATCTTGTTTCACATGCTCACTTTCCCCGTTCTGCTTTCTGCCAAAGGAAAAGACTTACAGCGGAATCCTGCCTTTCTCATTCTTGGCTACAGCAGTGGGACTTTAGAAGCTTGTTTCACCCTGAAGAAACTTCAGGTTCCTCTCAAATCCAGGATCATACCCTCAGGTCCTCTGAAGATAAGACCCCCAAGTCCTCCTGTAATGGAAGCTGTGGAGACCGGGAGGACAAGGAGAATATCCCTGAGGATAGCAGCATGGTTTCCAAAAGATTTCGCTTTGATGACTCCTTGCCCAGCCCCCACGAACTTGTTCCAGATTTGCTGTGTTAGCCTTTTCTCTGTGACTCATCTGGACTGACTTGGAAAGTTAAAATCTTCTCTGGTGTGAGATTGTGTTTTTAGCTTCATATATGATATGTTTATATTACAAATGCACTTTTGCTTAGAACAACTTAGGGAACAGTTTAAATGCTAGGTTTCTTTTTGCTGGCATATCACTTCCTGTCCTAAAATTGTTTTACAGAGAAAAATATTTAAATATATGACAAAAATGTAAATTGTGCATGTGAGTTCACATGCAACTAAAGAATTCAAGTTCAGTTGAACTTATAAAATATTTTACATATCAAGAAAAATGGGTTATATTATGGTTAGAGAAGATGGAATAAAATGAAAACATTGGAATATAGTAGGTTCTCTCTAAGGTGAGCCCTATGCTATAGACTGTTGACAGAATTTGTTTGGGGAAACAATGTCAAATATAAACCACAATATGTACTGAGACATTATTAATTATTTATACTCCAGAGACATTTGCAATTGAAAATGCTTTCCAGTTACCACGAACTGAAAACTGTGTAAGATTTCCTTTGTGCACTGTGTGCTCTGTGAGAGGGCCTGTCAAGCAGAGCAGAGAGGAGGCAAGGCTGATCCAGGCTGCTTCTCTGCAAGCTGAGTCAAAGCATGGATCATTTTCCAACTCAGATGTATTTGGACACTCATCATACATCAGACCTAATGAGATCTAGTAGATGGATATGTGTGGTATGCAAATTAGAGGCCTTCTCATCCTCTGGAAATATTAGAGTAGAGGAGAATGGGTAAAACCAAATATGCTCTAACTCAATCAGTTAGACATATTCATGAAGGGAATGGTAAGTACGGGCAGCTTACTTAGTGTGGGGCATCTCCTAAGTCTGAGAACTCAAGCCCATCAATTAGTCACCCACAAAAGTAACCAGAGCATTGGAAGAACTGTTAATACCAGAGTCCTTAGTAGGTAGCATAAAACATTATGCACTACTTGGAGTTGTTATGTAAAATTCTATCTTCCTTGGTTTTGTTGTGTGTGTGTGTGTGTGTGTGTGTGTGTGTGTTGTTGTTGTTGTTGTTGTTGTTGCTTGTTGTTGTTGTTGCTTGTTGTTCTGCTGGAAACAACACAAATGAAAGTCTATCGTTGAGTCAGTGGTCAATAACTGTGTTCAGTCCTGATGGGCGGGGGCTTGGGAATACTCTGGTGATTTCCCATTTGTGTCCATAAAAGGTCTGTAGTAACGTCCTATTAAGATAACTGGTCAAATGAATATGCTACTATATTAAATTCCATTGCCACAAAATAAAAAGCCTGTGTATTTCCACATTGAAGTGAGTTTAGTCTAACAACCTGTAAATTCTTGAAATTGTTAATAAATCCTGAATTCTTTACATGACTTAAAACTATTTTAAATGAGCATTGGGTGTTTGTTTGACTAAATATCAAGTTCATTTTCTCTTTGTCATCTTTACAGGAGTTGTCCTTTGTATATGTCTATGTGTGTGTGTATGTGAATGTGTACAGGTGTATGCATATATGCATCAAGAGATAAAATAGAGCCTTGAAACAACCTCGAATTAGACTCTTTGCTTGTGTATTGTGCTCAGCTCAGGTGCCAAAGGAACCCTGTCTTAGGAATTATAAAAATGTATTCTGCAGGAAGTCATCTGTTGGCCCAGTAAGCTAAACACTGAAGATGCTACATTTAACTCTTGTGTGTGTAAAGCTGAGGAGTTATTGATCAATTATTGAAATGCTTGTGTATTTTCCACCAGTGTTAAATCGGGTAAAGCTGTTAGTTGATCATGAGGGAAGGTGATTACTTTCCCACAAGGTGGTATATTATTGTAAGACTTTAAAAAGTATTATACCAGACCCTAAAAGTAAACATTTGAATTTTAATTTTAAGCCATTTGTTAAAAAATCACTTTTCATGTCTTTCTCTGAGGAATCCTGAGATACTTTGCCTGTTCCCCTTAGTCAATGGGCTACCAAGTTGTAAACTCTGGCACCTTTTCTTGAGACATTGTTTATTGTAAAATAGTAGCTAGTGACTGTACACGGAATAGAAAAATGGTCTTTCCATAAAGGTGAATTGAAATATTTCCCATGTTGAAATGTGGAAATAAATGTCTTTTGAGAGAATCTCTCTGAAAATGTCTTAATTCTTACTCTTCTCCCTGCAATCCTGAAAAAGAGCCCATCAAGAGCAGATGCTGTGTCTCTTGCTTGAGTAGGAATCTGGAGAGCTCCTCTGAGAATCAAGGCGCTCAGCTCAGACACATCTCAGGAGAGCTGTGGAGTGGGTTAGTCCATAAAACTTGAGTTGCTGTTTTGGATAGGTCTGGGCAGGTGGGATTTTGGAACAGAAGGCAATGGGATTGTCATTGTAATTATTTCCCTGCTGAGATTGCCCAGTTAGCAGTGGAATTCCAAGCACTCTGAAGACAAGTCTGCCGCACTGGCTCAGCAGTTCTTAGGAGAGAAAGCCATTGTCTTAGCAGTCAGCATTTCTCCTGTGGCAGGCGTCTGGTGGCAGTGTCACTGTGGCGCAGCTCCTTCATTTGGGGTGGATTACAGATGGTCCATGGGTTGTCATTTAACCTTCTATGCAGCGTTTACCAGTCTTGGTTCTTTAGAACTGTGTACTTCCGTTAGCCTGAAATTTGGGTTTGATAGCCAACTTAGAATCATGTCATTGTGACTATACTTTAATTTCAAATTGTGTTAAAAATATCTGACTTCCAACTGGGAGGTCATTACAAATTTATACATTTACAAAATTATTTTGAGAATAACTGTAAAGCTAATATGAAATCTATTGTCCTGCTGTCCTTTCTTTGAGCAATCATACTGTTTATGGAACAACTGTTATGTAAATATTCTAGATTAAAAACCCAAAAGGCTGCTTATTGTCAGGTTAATGATCCTTGTTGCTAAGAAGTAAAAAACACTTTTATTTATTTATTTTTCTTTACATTTGCCTTGTGTTTAAAGCATATTAAAACTTGCTGTTCATAGCCAGGCGTTGGTGACACACGCCATTAATCCCATCACTCGGGAGGCAGAGGCAGGCGGATCTCTGTGAGTTCGAGGCCAGCCTAGTCTCTAGAGCGAGTGCCAGAATAGGCTCCAAAGCTACACAGAGAAACCCTGTCTCGGGAAAACAAAACAAAACAAAACAAAAACTTGCTGTTCTTAAAACTGTCCTGGAAGGCCTAGCCTTGACACAGACAGCTCAAAGCCCTCCCCGGAAAGCCTAGCCTTGACATAGGCATCTTTGAGCTCTCTTTCCAGTACAACTGTTTATTTGGTCCTGTCCATTGGAAAAGCCATACAAGTTTGAAAACAAGCAGGCCTGTCCCCTAATAATAATACATGCCAGTGCAGTCCACACTGCATAAAAGGTAAACATCTGAAAGGTCTCCATCTGTGACTGAGGTGGCGTTGATCCCACCATCATTCATGATTCTTTAAAAGGTTCCCACCCTTGCTGAGTTCTGAAGCTTTGTCCCCCAGGAAACACAAGGATGTGTTTGTTTAACTTCAGCTTATAACATTTTTCTTTGGTAGAAAATCTTCATACAACCTCACTTAGTGTATCTCTGCTTAAAGACCCCATATAATATAATCTACATTGCTGGTTCATTAGCTTTGAACTGACTGGAAATAGTGGTTTATGCTTGTAATGCCCGCATTGAACAGGCAAAGGCAGGAGGTCTTTTGCATGTTCAGATGCATACAGACTAGCCGGACTACACAGTGAGACAATGTCCCATAAAAGACAAAACAAATTAATGTGCCTAACATTAATGCTAAACTCATGGCTTCATGTATGAACTAAACCTTGCTTTTCTAACACTAATTCTCTCCACAAGCCACATCACAGTCCTTTAGGTATAGGGACCAAGAAAGATACTTCATGTTAAATGAAATCAATATTACTATATGCTTTTGGAGATCTTAAAAGTTCTGTGAACATATACTGCTTTACATACATTATGAAGTTACCTCAGCGGAGAACAAGTTCTGCCAAGTGCATTTTTCTTTGAGAAATTGTTCAAACAAGATCATGACAGAAGCCACAAATATGTTTCTGGCAATTTCAGACTCAGAGCCTTCTCTATGAGACCAACCCTTATGTGAACTGTTCCAAGCAAAAGGCAGCAGGTGACCTAGACTGTGGGGGCACAGGAGAAAGAGGATCTCTGCTTCCCTTGGGAAGATCTGCCTTGCATAAAGGGAGGAGGCATATTTTGGTAAGAAATTTGGCTTAACATTTTTAGTTCTAGCCCCTCCCCCCAAAAAATCCCATCATTCAGGCACTCATCTTGATAAAAATTAAAGTGACACTAAGAAGTGTCATCTGGAATCCATCCATACTTAGCGTCTTCACTCAAAAGAGCTGTAGCACATGTAAAATTTGGGGTTCAATTCTTAACACCACCAAAACAACAAAACCCAACCTCACCCCACCCCAACCCCACAAAAAAAAACAAAACAAAAAAAAACAAAAACCAACAAACAAAACCTTTAAGGTTCACTTATCAGCACTGAAAAAATAAGACCAGTTTTCTCCTTAGGAAGTTTCAAGCCAAATCAAAGTAAAGTCAGTTTTATTTAAAGTGCAAGAGAGGACTCGAAAGCCAGCCAGTCTGTCCTGACACGGGCATACTTCCAGTGTGGGGGCAGCATAGGCAAAGACCCAGGCACTGAATGCAGGAGAAAGTCCATCAGGCTAATCGAAGAGCATAGAGCCTTGCTTGACTTGGTTTTGCTTTGATCGCTGATAGTATTCTGTAAATGCCCATGAGTCACCAGGAATGTTGCTTCTGGAGAAACAAATGTAAGCAAGCAGATGAATAATGAGGTCAACTGTACATGATAAACCACGAGTGTGCTGAGAAAAATGGTGTGTGGAACTTGGCAAGTCAATCTGTGGTAAGGAGAAATTTCTGTATGGGGCTACTTTGAAATTACATGCCTTGCCTTGCAACATCCGGGCTTTATTGTCTTGTTCTGGCACATAAGCAGTTACAAACTTTCCATTTTGCTCAGATTTTCCTCCTGGACCTTAAGTCATATCTATTATTTCTATTGGGTATAATTATCCTCAAATATGGCATATATCTAAATAAAATCATATCTTCTCACCTTCAGTATTACCTCCACATTTAGGCCCTTGGATCTGTGTCCTTCCTAGCATCACTTGTCCAAATATCAAAACTGGAGTCTCTAGAAGTCATTTGTATTTTTGTATTCCCTTCCTGCACCTCTTTCAATTAGCCATTAACTTAACAATTCATGTATCCTCACTGCATCTTGTAATCATCTCTTGATGATTACCATTCAGACTCCCAACACTCTAACCTCCACAGGTACCTGCACACGTGTGTGTGTGTGTGTGTGTGTGTGTGTGTGTGTGTGTGTGTGTATGTGTGTGTGTCCCCTAGCACATAGAAGTAACAATTTTAAAACTCTTTTTACAGGCCAGTTCTTAACTATCGCAAGTCTCATAAGCGAGACCATTTCTACTGTAACTACTAAGCAATCAGCACAAGAGCAGCTATCAACAATGTGTATTATGTTTCCAATAGAAATGTATAGACAAAGGAGCCTTTAGTAAATCCCAAGCCAGACAGATGTTCATTGCAATGATATTTTACTTGTTCTTCTAGCCCTAATGTGACTAAGGTGTAAGGAGAGGCCAAAAAGAGACAGGGTTGGGGCTGAAGACGGCTCAGTGGTGAAGAGCAGTTACTGCTCTTGCAGAGAGCCAGAACCCACATCAAATTGCTCATAGTGGCCACCAAGCCACAGTCTTGGGCGGTGTGTGTGTGGGGGGGTGTCCAATGCCCTCTGGCCTCTGCAGACACATAAACACATGGTACACATAAGCTCACACAGGCACACATACATACACACAAAAATAATCTTATAAAAGGGCAGTGCAATGTGCTAAGGGGAAAAAAATGTCCCTGTTGACTTTGTCCAACAAGTGGACTTCTAGGGAGAGGATTAGGGAATAATCATTGGACCTAACAAGTTTCCAAGTAATTAAAGAGAGTGTAGATACAGGTAGTTTTTCCAAGAAACCTGGAGGAAGAGAATAAAAGTTGGAAAGAATGGAGACGGCTTGTGTGGTAGAATAATATTTTCAGGTGTGTGACTTTGGTTTATGGGGCATTTGTTTAACTCTGTGAAGCTGTGTTACTGTGCCTGTTTAAAACACCTCGTGGTCCTAATAAAGAGCAGAACAGCCAATATCGAGGCAGCAGCAAGGATAGGTGGGGCTGGCAGACGAAGAGTATAAAGAGAAAGAGACACAAGGAAGAGGAAGAGGAGTGATGGAAGAACAAGGAGAGTAAGGCTGGGGG